TGTAAGTAGATATATCAAAATAGTGTCCCATTTGTCTACAGGCTGTTTAAAATTTTCTAATATTCTAATATTTTTCTTGACCTCATCAATGAACTGTCTCAACATGGATGCATTCTCCTTTTCCAAGGCAGGCAACTCAAACAAAGCACGAACATGGTTATGAATTAATAAATGATCATTTTGAAATCTCTCCTTCAACAATGGCCATGCTATGTCGTAATTAACAGATGTTATATCCAGAGAGCTAATCACTACCTCAGCATCACCGGTTAAACAGGATTTTAAATAATGAAACTTCTGAACTTTGCTTACTTGTCCGTTCTGATCAATAAGCGACTCAAAAATTTCACAAAATGGAAGCCATTTGTCAGCACAACCGCTAAAGCTTGGTAAATTGATTAATGGAAGTTTTACATTATTGTTTGATTGGTGTGGCGCGTTGTTTTGATTCTGGCTTTGATTTTGTGCTTCATAATTTTTCAAGATTTTTTGAGCTAAAGACATTGAAGAGTAATAATCACTTTCGAACAATGCTACTTCCTTTTGATCTTTTGCAATTTTCTTGGCATCACTGCCTTCCAAAGCTTGAATTCGAATCATATCAAGATATTTGTCCAAGGAGCAGTCAATTGACACAATTCTTTGTGATAACTGGATGATCCCAGGATCATTAATGTCCCCCAAACTATTTACAAATGATTTGAATCTCGATAATTGACCAACAATATTTGCTTTGGTAGCTTGCAAATGCCTCAACTCAATTACGCCAGGTTCGACTGGTTCGAGATCCATGTTTGATGTTTATAAAAAAGGTAAATAACCAAAAATTACACAAGCAAAAGCATGCAAACTGCACAAGCAGGACAATAGGAATGGTAAAAAGGACTTATCTGTTATGCGTAGCCGTAGGTACGCCGTCGCCGTCGATTCAGTGCTCCATTAAAGCTACATCCTCAATCAATCTGGTAGCGAAGCGGCACTTTGGCACGCGTGCGGGGAAATTGATACCCATCTTCAATGCTGTCAATTTTCAGTCTGCTGTGCGTGTAGTACGGTCACATACCGTGCGTTCGGTATTTTGATCTGAGTTCTCTGAGCATGCATTTAACGTTCGTTAATTTAAAAAGTGTACTCAATGCAGGCTCAATCACGTTCGTTTAATAAAATTTCGAGCCCTCTGATACAGCGGTTAACTGCTCTATGCGCTCGCTGGTCACGTGATTACGGCTCCGCTCTGCACGCTCTGCTCTTTGAGCAAAATACCTAACGCAAGGATAACCTAAATTATTTTTCACCGTACTGCGCATGACATAAGTCGGCACGAATCGAAAAAGCTTGCAGCTTGCAAGCTTGCACTTCGGAGTCGGCGTGCATGCCAGCACGGAATTGAATTGAGGATGCCAACGTTACACAACATTTTCCTAGCTTGCATGCCGAAGTGCCACTTCGCTACCAAATTGATTGAGGATGGGCCTTAAGTCCGCTAGGCTGCAGTTTTTTGGTTAGGGACTTCCAAATCCTAACCAAAAACGTCTTGATTCCAACTGCGTCGTGATTGTAGGTCTGTTTTTTCTGATTCCATCCGTGTCGAAGGACCATAATATGATTGGTTATAGTTTTGATTAATTTTTATTGATTTAAAAGAACAATATAACATTTAAATCCTTTTTTATTTTAATTAATTTTACAGGTTCTGATTGACTACAACAAAATTGTGTGTGTCAAAAAATGTAATACAAAAGTCATAAGTCAATTTCATATATTGGAAAAGTCATTCCGTTTGTGAGGTTGGAGCGGTGTAGGCGCTTTCGTTTGGCTGCACCACTTCGCACCAGAGTGTGGAAACACTGTGTTTAAGCCTACAAAATTTTGTAAATGTACTCGTAAGGGGAGTTTTACGTCATATGTATATATTTCTTTTAAGGTCGTTTGCCCTGAACAGGCTACCACTGGAAAGCGTCTGCCCTGGACAGGCTACCACTGGAAGGCGTCTGCCACGTGTTTTTAGGTTTCTGATTTAATTCTCTACATGCCCAAAAAAATTAATTTGTGTACTCGTAAGGGGAGTTTTTGATCAAAATTCCCTTATTTGGGGGGCGGTCACGGGAGCGGGCTACCACCCATAGCTGGCAGACGGGCGGTTTTTGGTTACGAATGATAAAGTGTTTCGAGTACCCAAAATGAAAATTTTGTTCCCGATGAGGGGGGTGATTTGACGCTGGGCCACCGGTCTAGTATTTTCAATACCCATTTAAAATAATTCCATCCTTATTTATCATGAATCAGATGAAACAGAAAATTACCAACAAAAAGGAACGTCGATTGCTAATACGTCAATTTTATGTACAAATAGGAAATTCCTAACCTAATTTTATTTGTGTGTTCAAGAAGTGACATACGTTTAGTCACTAGAACAACTGAAAAAAAACTAGAAAAAAGTCATAATTAATTAAACCGCACAGTGAAATCAGATATATTTAATGAGATGCAAACGACTTATTTCGTTTTTAGCATAGGGTAGTGGACAATTTTGTGAAATATTTTTTTTATTAATCTTCATAACAAAATATATATTAGTTGATGATTCTTTGATTTTAGGAAACAAAAATAAACAAGAAAAAAATTAACAAATTTGTGTTTATTTCAAATGCTATGATTTACCGCCCGGCGCCCGGAAATTACGTAATGTACTATTTCATGCAACCTAAAACTTGTCTCTGGTAATTTCAGTACTAATCTTACTAAAGGGAACCAATTTAAGTAAAGCTCAGGCACTATGCATCGATATTCTAACTAACCCAATCATTCTCGCAAAGCCATGAAAATCTCATGTCTCCTTTCCGTCTGGAACCTTTCGCTCGGGTTGTGATGCAGCAACCAGATAGCTAGAAAAAACCACAGCCAGTGTCTGGCACATCTGATTTTGCATTCGAAAGTGTGCCGACGTGATTTACAGCCGGTCGCTAAAAAGGGGGCTGTTGGAAAACTGAAAGCTAGGGTTCATTGCCTATTCCACATTACTATCTCTTCAGCCTCTAGGAACCAGTACGCCTAATTTAAAAAGCTTCTTCAGGACTACCAGCATGGTTCATAAATAAATGAATGCGCTTTCGTTGTTTTTTGGCGGGTTTAGCTTCTCTTCGATAACTTCTGACATTGGTTACAAATAATTCTAGTCGCATATTTTCTTGAGCACAAACAAAGACATTACAACTAAGCAGACAAAATATTTCATTAATAAAACCCGTAATAGTTCGGATTATTATTAATTTGACAAGATTTGTGAGTGTGAGAGAGAAAGCACATCTCTTAGAACTTAGGTAACATTGTACGCCATCTGTCGGTTTTGGCCGTCAGTGGTGTAGAGTTTTGATTAATTTTATGTATGAAAATAATTTATTTCTTTAATCTTAAAGGAGTAAAAATTTATTGTATATATGTATTTTCAGTCATGCTATCTTGAGAACGGCTCTAACAATTTTCTCGACAGTTGGTATTTAAGGGGTTTTCAACCTTGGTCAAATTTTCCGGAAATCTCGTTTTCAGCGAGTTTTTCAGTGCTTAAAAATACATTGTTTTATATAGGAGTTTTTTATGCGATGCCTCTTTTTATGCCACGCCTCCCGGCCGTGATAAGGTAAGACAGAAATCTACAATTTTAGATTTCTGCATTTATTATTGAGCTTCCGCCGCTCATTACTAGATGGCACCACAACTTTGATGTTTATTTTTAAGCTTTATTTCTAGATATTTAGTTTTATTAAGGCCCTAGGTGACATTTTTTAATAATTAAAATAAATAGTCAAAAAATATTATAATAATTTGATTGGAAAATTTGGAAATATTGATACCGATGCAAAAAATCTGGCAACCTTGCTAAGGGCCAGTTTCTCAATAGCGACTAGCGAGTAACCCCCGGGTTGGTTTTATCTCCAGGGTAAACGTGTCCAGTTGCAATGTTTACCCTGGAATTATGCTTAAACCGGAGGTGACTTTATTGAGAAACTGGCCCTAAAGCGATTCCAATTAAAAATGCACTTTTCATCGATCCCAGGTGCCTAAAAATGATTTTTCAAAATTATTATCGATTCGGATTAAAAAAAAAAATGACTCTAATGGTGTACCTACATTGTGATAGATTATGTTTATGCAAAAAATCATGAAAATCGGCCCAGCCGTTCTCGAGTTATAAGTTCTGTAATCAACCCGACGATAGATAGATAATACAATTACGTCAGTTGAATGCAAAAATTTGAATTTTTATGTTTAAAAAAAAAAATTATTAGTTGAATATTAATCATTTTTCCGGGATAAAAAGTTCCCCTTATATAGAGACTACGCGGTATAAATTTCAAAGAGATCGGTCCAGCCGTTCTCGAGTTGTAAAAAATATAGTTACGTCGGTTGAATGCGCAAACTGAAATAAATGTGGCATCGTTGTTTCATGTTGTCGAAAAAAAAAAAGTTGGGTTGTGTATGTGAATGAGTTTGTTTCTAATAGGTCTGTTTCTGCAGAAATCACAAACCGGTCAGAGTTAATTTCATTGGTTGAAATTAGTTTTCTGACTGTTTTCAACAAATGAAATTCGCTCTGACTGGTTTGTGATTTCTGCAGAAACAGTACTCTGCTCTGCCGGGTTTCATTAAATTGTTTGAAAACAAATATATATATATATAAGAAAATGGTGTGCGAATCAAGTTACTAAGTTCATTGAGCGAAACATATTTATTCACTAGTCAAAGGAAAATATCCAACTTTTCTTATTTTAATTTGCTTCTGAATTGATGAATAATTAGTTAAAGACTGTTTGAAAATGCTACTGCCCAAAGGAAAGCTGTATATTGCAGTTCTTTCACCCGTAATTGTTCATGGTTACCATGCCATCCATTTCTGTTTAAAGTTTAAACATTTGTGATCCAGTGTCCATTAGTGAATGCTAGTGAAGTCGCCATTTTATTTGTCAAGTCAGAGTATCTATTTCGATAATTAAAATTGAAAGATGAGCTTCCTTATGAAAACTTATCGGGAAGAGATAATGTATAAGGCGTTAATTAAGCGTGATATTCGACTTCAAATGGATATTGTTGTTGAAGGTAGGATTTGGTACTTTCCTTACTGCAATCTTTCAAATTATACAACTGGTGCTATATCACTGGACCGGCAGTTTGTCAATATATCTTTCCCAGCCTTCTTAAAAATTTCGCATCGCGCACGCGTTCTTCATGTGTAGTGAATTGTTAAACCTGAACGGCATTGACGGCCATTACCTCGTTGGCGACGTATGTTTGTGGCTTCGTTTTTGTATTTTGATTTTGTTCTTGGTCTTGTGCTTTGGGTAATTTCTCAATAATTATGGAAATAAGTTATTGTGTTGTTTGTGTTGTCGCGCAAAAAATCATTTGTCAAATAGATTTTAGGCCAAATTTTCCGGCAACGGAGACAACTTGGCGAGTATACTTGTAATTAAAATAACGCATGTAGGTAAATTGAAAAATATTGTTATTCTTCTTTTCAGATGGAAATGATGGATTTTTTTTTATTTCTATTTTCCAAGTTAATGTTTTAGAATTTAAGTTTATTTTGTATTTCTTCCAAAGAATTTATTCATTTATTTCTATAAGCTAATGAAATGTTGACTTTTTCCTATAATATTGTATTGTATTACCTAAATATTAACTATTTTAGATATTTTTATAGAAATGCATTTTTATTTCCTAGTCATTTTCAAAGATTTAGGAGGAATGTAACTTATATAATATGTCTATGATTTTTTTCGATAAAACAGAAAGGCTTCGATTCCTACTACCAAGAAAAACGAACAGCAGAAAATAGTAAATTAAAATACAAGTTTCATAAGACGTCATTTTATCGCACGAGCCCTATATTAGAAAACGAGCCGGAGGCGAGTTTTCTAAAGGGCGAGTGCGAATATTTTATACTATTTTTTCTATTTTGGTTTAATTTAAAAAAAAAAAAACTTTTCTTGGAAATTATTATTCTCATATTTCCTGATTTCATATGTTTAGATTGGTAACACTACATGCCAAATATAGAAATCTTCTATTATTTTTTAGCGCGAATGACAGTTCGATGGCCATCAGTCAGCCAGTGTTACCAACCTTCGATAAGTAAAAAAGGAGTGACACAAAGAGTTTCTTTTCGAAACTACTTTTAGTGTCGAAAAGACTTCGATATGACACCAAAATAGAAAAAAATTGTTATGTCATACCAAGTTGCAGAAAAAGTAAAATTTTTGGAATTATTTACTAGCATTCCGGTATATAACATTACAACCATGTATAAAGTTATGGCCTTCTGATGAAAATCCATCAAATATACTGTAAAGGACCATAAAATTTGAGGAGGTATACCCAGCGTTATACTGTCGGCCGGGCGGTTATATATGATCTGGACCAGTACATTTTTCATTAAGTTGGGCAGATGCCTGTTATCCGGAAAAGCGGCATTCGTACGATGCTGGGCCGTAAGAAATGTGTTTGTTGGGCGGGTAGTTTTTTTATTCATGGAAAGATTATATAGGTAATTAATTAGCATCTAGGGGATCTAGGTTACTTTTTGTGCGGCTTCTATTCCATGGCAACTTCGAAATTTTAAAAAATGTAACATATTATATGCTACCTATAGTACCTACTCATGGCATTTTTTGGGAAAAAATTAAACTGCAAAGTCGACCAGGGCCGTATCTAGACCAAGATTTTGATGGGGGAGAGGGAGTTTGACAATTATGAAAACAAAATGGTTACACTAATAATAAAAATTTTAAAAAATAAATAAGTATTTAATAAGTGTTTTTAAACGAAATTTTTTGAATTTTATTATTTGTGGGGGCCCCCTCAGATACGGCCCTGAAGTCGACAATATTTTTGTTGCGTCTTTGTTAAAGTAGATTTACGAATGGACAGGTATCCCCAAACTCACAGAAAATGCATATAAATGTGAACATTTTTTAGTTCCATTTGTTATCATTTTCCTTAACAAAGCCTTGACAAGTACCTACCTATGGCATTGCCAATTTTGTAATTTTCATTTCTATCGATAAATGCTATACCTAATATAATTTATGTGCATTCAAAGATTTCAACTACCATTTCTGTACCCAAACTGCAGCGAAAGTGGTAAAATTGCAAGATTATGCACAATTTCCCCAATTTTGAGTGATTCATACCAATACAAAACCAGAATCAGAAAAAAAAACTAAGGCTTTGTTTGGCATCAAGAAGCCAAATAAAGCATTTAGAAAAAATCCAAATTTCATGGAGTTATTGCCATGGCAGTCTAACTGAACAACTTGGCGCTTTCAGTCACCAAGACTCACGTGCTTTTTCAGGATTAATCTCGCCTGAAACCTATGAAATTTGAGAAAAACCAAATCGCCTGCCTGTTCAGTTAATGTTGAGTATCAATGCCGTCTTAACTCTTCATGATATCTTATTTTGTGACAAAATGAGAAGTCGATAATATTATAGCTCATTATTTGACTTGAATTTAGGAACGATTTTATTTTTATTTTCTCGTTAGCAGGTTTAAGGTAGCTACAGTACCATTTGGCATTGGAGATTTCCTGTTTTCGATACATGAGGGACTCTGTTCAACCGCAGGGCCCTAAAACAGGTGGCGCTTTCTTTAACATTTTTTTGCCCACATCACTCTCCACTTTGAGAGTTAGTCGGCCGCCCTAGAAACAGAGTTACCACTTTCTCATTATGGGACTGACACCCACCCACATAACTCACCCCTCTTCTTTCCTTCTCCTTTTAATTACTTTTGAATATACATTATCGACCTTTACAATTTCAGAATGCGTTTGTAATCCAAAAACATATTCAATGAACACAAAAAGTTCATTAAAAATTTGAATTTGAAATTTTAATAATATTTTTTGTTTTTTAAGTGGTTCTTTTTTGCTGCTGCATAAAAATACGAGTGCCAAGGACTAAGCAGGAAATCGAAGCTGATTACAAAAGAAAGAAAATTGCAACCAAATTTAGGAAAAGACTAAAGATAATTAGTAATCAGGATATGGAACAAGTGGATTTGCGAAAAGGTATGTTCTGTCAGTTTCTAAATAGATCCTTGAAAAGTCTCTAAATCATGTTGAAAATAGTAGTTTTCATAATCAATGCGCAAAGTTATCGTTCAGATAAGCTTTAAGTGCGGAAAAACTGCTTCGAGCACGTGTTAGGAAGAATATTTTTTTTCTACAAATGAAATAACTATACATTTTTGTTTTACTTTTTATTGGCATCAAAAACAAGATCCTATAACTACCTGTGTATACTTAAATTACCTATTAACTATATTGAAAAATATTCCCGCACAGTTTGCGGGAAGTGCTACTTTGCGCACGCAAATGAGTGCGCAAAGTAGCTACTTTGCGCACACTCGTAAAAAAAATTTATTTATTGGAACATTTTTAGCCCTAGAAATAATAATAGAGGCAGATTACAAGCAAGAAACGCCGATTTATGATGTACCAGCAAACGACAATGATCCGTTGGTTCCCGTTGCTCCTAAGGAGACGTTTGGACAAAAAGTTGCTAACGTTATGCTCATCGGTAAATGGCGTACCTCTAGTAAAAATAAGGACATACTGGTCTAAGCAGTTAACTGTCTCGCGGAATGTGTATTCCTAAAGGTATCAGAAGTTTGGAGTGGTGGGAATCAGTAAATACTTTCCTGATAACGTTCAAGCAAATACAATCAGTGTAACTTGTAAATATGTAGGAGTACGCAGCTTATGTTCAAATGACTTTCAAAAAAAAGTATTAGGAATGAACATTTGCTGTTCGTGGAAGACAATTCGATATCAGTACAAATCACATTCGTGAGTGTGTGTAATAATTGCATTAGCTCATACGATAGCTGAGAAAGCTAATGGTTATCTTTAAGCGACCTACAATGCTGATTTCTTGCATTAAAATAAAGTAGGTAATTTTCTCAAAAAATAAATATTGCAAAATACATTACAGATAGTGTTTAGAATGTTTTTGCGATTTTGATTAAATTTCATTTCAGAAAAAGCTGTGTTCGTTTCATTTATTATATACCTAATAAAATTCTAGTATCGGAAGTTATTCATGAACTAAATTTTGAATGTAAAATTACCATCGAATATAGATTTCTGCAAACAGTTGATAGACGAGTGTGTCTGGGCGGGGACGTTATGAAAGTTTGAACTTGAATTTGATTTAAATCAAATCGAATCGAGGAACTTAGAAATTCATGCTATTAGCTACAGTTACCTTAGTGGTGTCGGAAGAAAAATGAAGAACCATGCCGGTAACAGGCTTCAAGAAGTGTTTGTGCTCGCTGAGGCTCGCCCGTACATTTCTTTTTTTAGCCTAGAATGTCACTTTACCGCCTAAGTCCATTTATCACCCAGTTTTATTTTCCTGAAAAACTTCTTTAGGTACGTGTAACAAACACTATTTCTTGTCATACGTGTCATATTGTGAATCTTAGTGAATCTGTACATATCGTCGCTGATCTGACAAAGGGGCGTAACGGTCAATTATTCCGTATTGGAGTTAGGGTCGCCGAGTGATTTCTTAGAGTTGTATGTATGATTTGACAAGAGGGCGTATGCTCAAAGGTATTACTTTTCTCTATACATTAAATCAGCTAAAGGCGTAAGTACACAGAAATTGCATATAGGATCTGACTAAAAGGCGTATATCCAAATATTAGAACTTACGCAATTCTGTTAGATCCTACATTGCGTCTTTTCGGAAACGCTGATCCGATCAACCCGATCACCAGCTTTCTGTCTTTCATATTTCTTCAATAAACGTGATTGATGAAAAATCGAATCAGCGTTTCCGAAACTTTCTCTCTCAAAAGAACTTTTTCAGGTGGTTTATTTGAATTATTTTAACAGTGAGATACTAAACATCCTCGATATGTACTCATTTTTTTCACAATACCAGGTGCTAGCAGCTCCAGCATCAATAAAACATATGTCACAAGACAAGCAACAAGCAAGCAAATAAATAAAAACAAAACTGTCATATTTTTAGAGGTTAACTTATTCAGTAGAAAAATACCAATTTTTTGAGTTGTTCTAGAAATTTTAAAATTGATAAGGCAAGACCGCATATGTACACTTGTAAATGTTTGAGATTTTGGCTTTTTGGTGCGTGTTTGAATCTATTTGTGTATATCTCAAAAACTACAGATTTTTATGAAAAAAGAAAAATAGGGTACCTATATATTTTGCTTCATATAGATTCAATTAAAAGTGATATTAAAAAATGTGCAAGGACCCTATTCCAACACTCATTTTCGGCTCGTGTTTGAATTATCATTCTCGTGAATAATAACTATCATTATATGCTCGTTCCAACAACTCCGCAGTCTGTCAAAAACTGTGTGAGTGGAAGTCGAGCAACTCGAGTATGTCGACTATCGTATGTCTGAAGTAGGTAATCCACAATCCGCGAAACCACCAACAATTTCTGTCGGATCACCTAATTGACCGTCATTATAAGGCCTTTTGTTTGCTATTCTGGAGGAATTCCTGATTGTATTCAAACTAGACTAGAATTTATTGCTATCGAAAGAGAAGAAAGTGTTAGATGAGTCTTGTATTTCAATTTCCATTTCGGCCCGAATACGTATAAACTTATCCAGAGAAAGCACACTGTTCTCGTTTTTTCGTTTTCTTCCGAGCCAGATTGAAAAGTCTAAAAAGATGTTTAAATTTTTCGAATGAATTACCATTTTTATTTAAATATGTAGATGACATAATTTGTTCGATTTCCTTTAAACAAGAAATCAATAGTGTTTTCAATAATTATAATTTAAATATTCAATTTAGAGAAGAAAATTAAAAAATAACAGCGTTCTATTTCTAGATACCAAATTAATAAGAAACAGAGCTAATAAAATTTTGCTAGATTGTAGTATAGTATGTTAAACCATTTTCTTCAAGGAGGTATATGAATTAATTTTCTTATCATCCTGAAACAAAAAAATTATCTTAGCTCTTGGAATGAAAAATAGGATAATGAAAATATTTCATTTAAAAATTCTGAAAGACGTATTTCTGGAAAATTCTGAAAAGTTACTTAATAAACTTATTTAATTTTTAAAAGATATTTTGGCACATACGACAAAACCACGAGCCAACGGGCGATTGGTTTTGTAAAATGTCATGAACTAAATTGACAAAAAGGAACAAACATGAACAAAAAAAAGACATACATATTTTGCCTAAAAATTTGTTTCTCTGATGAAATTTGACAAGACTATTCCACGAGAAGAACAAGCCAAACCTCAATCTTTAAGTAGAAACAATGTATTATTCAAATAAAAAAGGATTATTATTAATTTAAAATTTGAACTAAATGTGCAGTTAGTAAAATTAATAGTAGCTCGTCCATTTTATTTAATCGAATTCTGGTTTTGAGTTTGGTTAACCTGGCGCAATTGAGACGCGGTAGCTGCAAAGCATGCTTCATCGGTTGTTCTGAGGTTTTCGATGAATTTTAATTATTTTAGCGAATTCGTGTTTGCATCTCTGGTAAGCTTAATCAACCCTTGGTTTCCAACAACATCTTTAACCAGGGCAGACACAGCGAGCGATCGATGAGAATAATTTGTTATTTTATGTTTTCTAGTGTCAATTCCAATTCTTTATACTGAAGTTTTGGCCCACTTAGATATGGTGTTATATATATTTTCCTTATAGTGCGTTTTTGAACCTATATGCCTTCTGCCAATTTGGATAAACAATGAGAAATATTCTGTCTGTGGTAATATTTATTCCCGTTTTTTTCATCATCTAAAGAAATATTTTTAGAGGGCATAACTTTATGTTTGATAAATCTTCAAAAAACCATTTGTTGATTGTCAATCCTTCTGTCCCACCTTAGGCTGTTTTGGATAATATGCTGTTATACTCGAATATTCTCATGACATCAAACTTTTTTTCGATAATAATAAACTTGGCAGTTCACGGCCTCAGTGCCCCGCCAAGCAAGTCCAAGTTATTAGGATTTTTATTATCTTAGCCTTGGATTATGAGCATCAAGTCTTCATAGGGATTTTAAACTTAATTTTCTCTTTTACCAAAACCTTTGGAGGCATTTGCATTTGCATTTGACCATTCTTGAAAGTGATATTCGCGAAATAACAATACCCGAACGCATCGGGAGTGTTTATTGGACTTAGAGTTTATAGAACAGTCATCCCGTACCCACCTATAATAATATGGGCATTGCCTTTGACCCTTAATTGAAATTCACGGAATTGTTAATAGATGTCGCCCACTCCGAAGTTTTCGCTAATACCGATACAAGAGACGTTTTCTCGCGTCTCAAATGTTTCAAAACATTTTTCATAACTGGTTCAAGTAATGTCACCATGACGTCATAATATCTCGGCGCGAGAAAATTGATTTTTTGAAACCATTTTGAACTCTCTACTGGATCATACAACAACCTAAACTTTGTGACATTTGAACTGTCACAAAAATATATTTATTGTTCTTAATAATTTTTATATATTTTGGATTCATTTAAAATTACTATTTCGTACACCTAGCAACATATATGATTCTTCTGACTAGTTTTCCTAACTTAATATCGAGAATTCTGTTATTTTCAAGAAACCTGTAGCGCTGTAATTTTTATGATTTTGACAAGCTTGACAGACAAAGAAAGAAAAGAGAGAACCAATTTGGGTACTTTTGACTGGCCCTTTTTCTCGTTTGTCTTGAGACCGAAACAGGTCGTCCAGATTTTGAGAATTTTAAAAATCTTAAAACTTTATCTTTGTTTTTGGCCATCGAAGCCACATTCTTGAAAATTAACTAGCCAGAAGAGTGCTTGATCGTGTCTACTAGAAAGTTTCCTGGAGAATAAATTGATTGTTGATTTTCGTGAAGATTTTGGAAAGTGAAGTTACTATCGGCCGTTCAGGTATGTAAATTCCTTTTTCTCTCTGATGAATGAGTTCTTATATTTCCTCAATTCATTCAGGCACCTTCAGCAAGACGAAAAATCCGTGCCCGCACTTCTCCAAGTGGAAATTGACAAATCTGAGACCACGCTGTCCTGGAAACTCAGAGCAAATCTGGGCCCCCTTTACAAGGAAAATTGTGTCCTGTAAGAAGTTGATCCCCAACCATTATTTGGTTGTCTCCAGTTAGTTTGGTATTTCCAGATCTCAAATTTATGAAAACTTCCGAGGCTTTACAAGGATTCCGTCCAGGCTTCTATAACTACTTACCTATGGGTGTCTTAAACGTGCCATCTTAACTATCTAACTTATTTTTACCTTTTCTTTTCCACCCCCTATCGTTTAGCTTCATCCGCTAATTAATATCTTTATTAATTCAATTTCCGACTAGGATAGCTAACTACTGTTTAAATAGAATTATTGATTTAATTAATTAATTCTTATTAGAGTCAAATATTGGCTTTTATTATCGTTTTCTCTATCAAAATTTATTATCCAATAAGTATGCATTATTATTATTATTATAAATTTATTTCCGTAATATCGAGTAGGTACTGATCGATATAATATTATTGTGAATTCTTTAACCTTTAGAAGATTAATTTAACTTGTAATTTCAAATCAATAATGTTGTAGTTTTACAAGGTAAACTGATGTAAAATCTTTAGGTAGTCCAATTTAAGTTTTATGGTTACCTATTTTGAACTTTAAAGGTGAGAAGGTAGAGCTCTTCCGGAATATGTGACCCCTTGATTTTACCTAGCAGGTTTTTGATATTTATAACTGCCTAGGAATTATTTATTACCTTTCCGCATTGATTAATTTGTTTTTTATTGATTTGATTGACTTTGAGTCAAAAATTAAAAGTTAATATTATTTTGACTCCAACATTTACACTTAGGTAAGTCTCATCGTAGGTATCTACTTAATTGTTTTGAATTTCAATCTTTTTGTATACCTATTTAAATTAAGTATTGCTTCCGGAAAGCTGCTCATTTTTTTTTTTTTAATTGGATACTGACAATAATCACCTTCATGTGTTTTTATTGAAGTGGTTAAATGTCAGATAGGTATTAGATTTATTTTACCTTTTCAGATTGATAATCAAAATAATTTTATACAAACTAGTGACGCCCTCTCTTTACTGTACCAACACCAAGGACTACCTCCTACCTCAAGCTAAAGAACCACTGAGCATAGTGGAGCACAATTATGAGCATTCTTTTGTTCCAACAGAAGAGCGTTACAACTCTAACCTCACTTTTCATTTCAATTTCACTCTGTTTATGTTTTAAAAATATTCAGTCGTGCTCCCTGGTAGTGATACACTATAGTCGGGCCACCGAACAGAGATAGTAATAAAACGATTACCTGGTAATTAACCCCCATAAATTATCCCAACACCCTCTTAAAAGCAGACATTTTCATAGTGGAGCGCATTTGAAACTGATGTTATTTGTCTTTCATTTTTTTATTTTAACTCAAAATAATTTAGTATGTAATTAGAATTTGAATGTTAAGTGAAACCCTTTATGCATATTCCCTCATAAAATATGAATTCATGCATTTAATAAATTTTATTTATTATAAGAAGGTATAAATTGGGTATAAATCCTCTCGTCTATTGCCTGTCAGGATTCTCGGAGGTTGAATGCTCGGTTTTATTACTATCTCTGTTCGGTGGCCCAACTATAATATAACTATGGATACAACAATATTGTTTTTAAATTTCCTGGTGCATTTTCTCTGTGACGCTATTCCATTCCAATGGCTTACTGATAATAGTTACTAGGTTTCTATGCAGTGTTTACCTGAAATCAAACCTATTTTCAAATGGAGCACAGTATAATAGAAATTATTATTAGAATCTCAATGATCTGCTTAGTTATTTTGCTTTGAATAAGCTAAAATGCAGATGCAGAGGAACAAAACATATTTTAATTTATACTTCACAAGGTTGTTAAGCACACGGCCCGAGGGATATTGTGAAATGTGGCTGCCAAACTATCTAGAATATGACTTATTTCAACTGTTTAGGTTGAGTTGAAATGAATTCCAAAAATTAAATGAAAAAATTAATATTCACAGAGGTGTAAATATGTCTAAAATCGGAGGAGGTGGCATACCCATACCTGCAGAAAAACGATTGATGATGCTGTTATGGTGGTTAGGTAAAGGCGAGACACTTTTATCAGTTTCTGATAAATTTAACACTCCTTTGTCAGCCATTTACAAAAGTAACAATCTTCTCTTGAATTAAATAATTGGCTTACAGCATACTTACATTGTCTGGTCAAATCATAGTGAAATAGAGATTGTTGCGAATGGGTTTTATCAAAGAGGTAATATACCAGGTAAGTAGGTACTAGGAAAAGCATTGGTTCTAATGACATATGTATGTTTTGCAGGAGTGGTAGGTGCAATAAATGTAGCTAACATAAACTTCAAGGTATATGCACTGCTGACAAAATGTTTACCAATGTACCAGTGGACTGGCCAGGTTCAGTTCATGATAGTCGGGTAAAAATCATTTTTATATTTTTAATGTATGTACTAAAAGCAATTTAACTTAATTATTTGTTCTATAGGTGTTTCATAACTGTGAAATTTTCAGGAAAGTATCCAGTAACATAGAAAGAAATAAATATTTTCCTATACTAGAGCATCACCTAGTGGAGGACACAGCTTATCCATTGCTTGATTAAATGATGACCCCATATAGGTATGTGAAATATATACACACCTTCTTAATATTAGTTTGAAAAAATGGCGTTTAATCCAGCATGTAAACTTAATATTTATCCTATCATCCTTTTTAATTTTAAAGATAATGGAAACCTTACACCAGTGCAAAAAATATTTAATTATTTGCATATCAAGACATGTATTGTTATCGAACATACATTTTCAATTCTAAAATCTCGGTGGAGAGTTTTAAACTACATAAATGTTAAAACAGTAGAGAAAGCAGTTTAAGACATTGCTGCTTACTGTGTTCTGTCGTGTCAATGGGGATGTCTGGCAGGAATACAATGGAGTTGAAGAAAACAATGCTAATGTATTTCATGTACAAGACATAGCAAACAATTTTGCTGTAGATAAAAGAAACAGAATTACATAAAATATTTGAAAGCATTCTGCTCCAACAGGATAAGTTAGAACATTGTACATAATTATTTATTTTATAATGAACTCGATTTCTTTAGGCCCGCATTCCAGTTGTAAATAGAATATATTTATTTAAACTGATTATTTGTTTAAAACACATTGCGTGCCAAGGCAATATAGGGAAAACTTCCCAGGGAACCAATTTTTTAAAAAAAATTATGCATAGTTTTAGCAAAATTATGAGATATTATGATGAAAAAAAAATATGTTTTTTCTAATTTTTCAGGGAAAAATAAGGGTTTTCAGTGTCACCATTATATAGGTGAAGCGGCCCCCAGGGAAACTTACATGCATTTTTCACAGAGGAGGCCACGTCACCTGTATATTGGTCACACTGAAAAAATCTCTGTACCTATTTTGTATTTTTTTGCAGATATCTGCAGAGATTCAATCAGGAACAGTGGAAAAAAAAAGGTTGTTGCTCGGTTTTGATAGCTAAGAAAGGTTCATTTCCCGGAAATAAATCTTTCATGGCAAAGTCCAAGACCGAGATTACAAGGTTCTTTTATTTACAGTTGACAAGTAAGTGCATGAACCAGTAAGATGAGCAACAAAAGAAAAGCCTTGACTGACCGTGAACTACAATATTACGCAATCATTTGAGCGATATTGAATCAATAAAGTCTAAAGATCCCATCGATGATTCATCCGACGATCCTGAATTGGACCCAAGTTTGAAGAAAGTAAACCAAAAACTTGAATTTGCAAAAAGAAATACATTAGATGAAGATGAGGATACGCAAGATGAAGAAAATAAGAGCGAATATGAAGGAATCGAAGAAGATGTTAGTAGGGTCATGAGCGATCTGATACATGAAGAAGATGCTGATAACATAGATGATGAAGTGACAGAAGCGATATAGAATGAGCATACAGGCAAACAAAAATACTTTGATTTCACTGGTCCTCCATGGAATACAAAAAGATATAAATCCTGAGATCTCCCCACTGGACTTGTATTTGGAACTTCTAGACGACGAGATTCTCACTCGCACAGTTACTGAGACCAACAGATTTGCCCAACAAAGCGTGGAACAGAAAAAAAAAAAAACAAGAAATATGCACGACTAAACAAGTGAACTGATACGGATAAGAATGAAATAAAAAAGTTTTTGGGATTAACACTATGGATGAGTCTTGTAAGAATAAGCAATCTACAAGATTATTGGGCAAAACAGGGCATATCGTCGCTGTCATTACGAAGTGGCCAATCTCTGATTTAACAACTTTTCAGGAGAGCGTTTTGAAGAAAACTCTACTGTTCATTTTGTCTGTAGCACTGGATATAATTCATTATCAGAACTTGATTTTCATATACAGTAAGGGGCAGGCTACTAGGTATATAGGATCCAACTTGACGAATTAACGATCGTCCGCGGCCGTTTGATACCTGTCGCTGTCGGTCCGCTGTCGTATTTTTAACGACTTTGACGTTCGTTGAGTTTGTTCACAAATCACGGTTCACATCAGTACGTGATTTTACAGACTTAAGCCCGGTCCAGACGCTACGTTACTGATTACTGATCACGTGTTGAACTATGCAGGCAAAACGTTATGCCACCAAAACGTAGCAGGTAGCATCTGGACCGTGCTTTTAGATGTATCGTCGAGCTTCACTTAGGTACTTATAATTAATTTTAAGCGTTCAGATAATTTTTTGCAAACCGAAACAATAATACTAAAATGTTCTCCATCATACAAACCGCTCCAGAAAGTTACCTTCTGAGGACGCTGGGCTCTAAGTTCAAAATACCTGTGTAAATTCTCCTTAGACCAATAACGGGTGTGACTAGGATTATGTTGACTATGCAGTTGAAATGTCGACTTATCTGTGAAGACAATTTTTCTAGGGGCCAAATTATGGACCAACTGGTGTCTGGTTGTTACCTAGCAGGTACTTTCTATCCTCTAGTGCATAGAAAGTACCTGATAGGTAACAACCAGACGTTTACCAGTCAGTCCATAATTTGGCCCTAAGAAAATCTTCATTCTCATTTGTCTTATTAATGACAGTTTCACAAAACTCCATACGCTTCATATTGTCCTCGGATCAATTTTCTGGGAGTTTCGTACTTTGTATGAACGATACTTATTTTTTTTCTCTGGCTTCCCCACCGTCCTTGTGTGTTTTCGATTCGCTTTGGTCCGTTTCGAGGCCAACCAAATTAGAATCAACCGTTTTCGATTGCAAACCGGTGACGTGACAGGCATCACTTGTTCCGTCTAAATTCGAACCAGCTTCGCGAGTTGGTTCGAATTTTGGTTTGAATTTCAGTTTGCTTTTATAACCTTAAAATATGTTGTTTTTCTTGACACACCAAATTCAAAAGCTGTCAATTAACTTCTATCATATCCGAAACAACCAGTCAGAACCGAATCGAAAACGGCCCTTGTACTTGAGTCAATCTCGTGCGCAAGCGCACAAGTCGAAATAGTTAGAGTTTCGTTAACTAATGCCAACAACCAACAACATAATTTATTTGGCTTCTTGATCCTCATTATTTTCCTGGACGTCATTTCGTTCAGGGTTTCGGAGAGAAACGCAACCGTATTTTTGAAAATTAATAACAACCCTAGAAACTTTTTGCCTGGTTGCGGCCAGGTTAGCACTCAATCGATTTGTCATTTTCTGACATGCGGACGCCTGCAACTTCGTCAGGTTACATCCTATATACCTAGTAGCTTGCCCCTCACTGTATACATATATAACACAAAGGTATACTTAGAACATTGAGACATATCATTTTTGAAAGAAAAGATTGGACTTTTTCTGTAAATAAATTATTAAGAAGATAGGCCCGTTCGTAATAACAGAAACAAATGTTTCGCTGTTTGACAAAACAGATATGCATTTTTGTTAAAAATAAAACAACTATATTTCTGTGGAAAAAAAATCAGATTTTCTTGAACACGTATTTTTATTTAGAAACAACATTATTATACATTATTTCAAACTTAAAACGACATAAGAAAAAAATGAAACAAAATTTTACACCCATGTTCGACAAAAAAATAAAATACAACTCTATTGCTAAATTAACATTGCGTTACTCAGATGACATGTGTGGCAAAGAACTATAAAACAAAACATCTTCAGGACATCTAATGACAGGTTTGATACCAGTGCATAGTGCCATCAGGTCGTTGTATTTTAGCAAAGATATTGGCTTGGGTTCTTTGCTTAACTTTGAAAGAGGTATAGTACCTCCAGTTTTTCGTTTAAAGTTTATGGATCGATACTGATTGTCCAAATGACTCGTTTTAATAAATAAATTATTTGGACTATCATTTTTTACTAAAAACTCAATGATGTTGGTCCATTTGAAATGAATGCCATCATCGTCGGTTTTGATTGTTTTAAATCTGTAATCCTCGCTAAATTTTTTAAAATCATTAAAATCGTCAAAATTTTAACTATGTGAGGCTTTTTTTGCCTGGCTTGGTGAAATACAGACACTAGTTGGCTCGGTGTAAACAAGTCGCCAGGGCTCTGTAACGGATAGAGATCGTTATCCCCATCGCTATGACTCTTGCTGTCTTCTTCTGTCCTCTCGAAATCAATAGAGAGGGGACTTCAATAGAGATAGAGAAAATATCTCTATTCGTTACAGAGTCCCAGCCCAGCTTTCTTAACTGCAAGACCTATGGCAGTAGGCGCCGAGTCTCGTTCATTTTGGCCATGATTAGGAGAGAAGAAGCGACGAGAAACCTCATTTAAATTTTTACTATTTAATACTACGTGAAAAAGAGCAGCGGCCATTATAGAGTTTTTATTGTGCCCTCCGCAGCCATCAGCGAACAGGTTGGTAGATTTAATTTTATTTTCTTGGTCGTAGTTTTTTGGAACTTCAAATGCAACAGTTGCAATTTCAGAAGCTCCGCGACCACTTGCTTCTTCATGCCAGGTGAAACAAAAACAATCTGTACTGGCTAGATTATAAACCGTCAAATTGAAAACGCTTAATCTTCTTCTGTAGAACACTGCACCATCACTGCAAATAGGCAGATTAATCACTTGCTGTAGATCAAAGCATCCACTAAAAATCATTGAGTTGTTCTGAGCCTCGGCCTTACATTTTCCTTTCATATTTCATACTGCGGTTTCTTCTAAATAGTTATTTTTGTCACAAGTACCTACTCATCTGCTATTCCGGACTCGGCTAACGCCTCGTCCGGAAACAGCAATGATTCGTCCTGAGAAACTTCGTTTAGGTACGTGTGACAAACACTATTTTTTGTCATACGCTATTTTACAACAGGGCATTCCAACAAAAAGAAAATCAGTCAGGGCACATAATTTTATTGTGTGGCACAAGTGTCACTTCAAGTTTCTCAGGATTTTTTCGATTTAATTCCGATGGTATTCTATGAAATTTAACGGAGCCGCGTCCTCCTCTACTGCTACATTTCACTACACAACAAAATGCAGCCATTTTACCACTATTTTTGCGCAATTCACATTTGTTTGTCCTGACTAACTTTTGACAAACGCCATTTTTGACAGTTCGTTGGAATGTAACTTTTCTATGATAATTGTTTTGAAAAATTTAGCAGGGTTGGCATCATGTTGGCATAAAAAAAATTGATGTCGTAGTATCATAGCAACAAGTTTATTTGATAATTTTGTCAAACTATTCTCCATTCTCATTCAAAAATAAATTTTAAAATGTCCCAAAATCCTGCATTTATCCCTGATAAGGCCAAGGAAATAGTGCTCGATTTACTGCCAGTGAAGTCTCGTGCAATTTATCAAAAGGAGTATGATGTTTTTGTCGAATGGAAGCACAAACATGCAGTACTCGTTGTGAATGAAGATGTTTTACTGAATTATTTACACGAAAAAGTAAGTAAATATTTCAAAAACTAAATACTTATCTAATTATCTACTCAAAATGTACTTTGAGGCTTATAAATTGAAATACTTTCTTAAATTACAGTCACAAGCTTCCAAACCATCGACAGTTTGGTCAAAATATTCCATGCTGAAAGCAGTATTAAGCGTTAAAGAAAATATTCAGATAAAAAAAATTCCAAGGGTTATTGCTTTTTTGAAGAGGAATTCAGTTGGTTATGAGCCTAAAAAGTCTAAGGTATTGTCCAGAGAAGAGATCGATCAATTTTTGGCTACGGCTAGTGATGAAGCTTATTTATTCACTAAGGTTAGTTTGCGGTGATATGTGGATGGTTTCTTATTCCATTTTATTATCAGGTTGCTCTTGTTATCGGCCTTTGTGGAGCGTATAGAAGAGAAGAATTCCACTCTCTACGAGTGCAAGACATCATACAAAAAGACGACAACTGCCTTCTAGTAACTCTAGCTGATACAAAGACTAATATAAAAAGAGTGTTTCCGGTGGTTGGCGAAGGAAACGTGGTCAATCCAGTTGAGTTATATGGAAAATATGCTCGTCTTCGACCAAAAAATGTACCACATAATTACGTCTTCATCTCTTATCGCAAAGGAAAATGCACGGTGCAACGCGTTGGCATTCACTCATTCGGAAAGATGCCTTCGCTTGTAGCAGCATTTTTAAAGCTGCCGAACTCAAACGAATATACAGGTCATTGTTTCCGACGTAGTGCTGCTACTCTTGCTGCAGATGCAGATGTGGATTTCACATCGCTGAAACGCCTAGGAGGTTGGAGGTAAAAATATTAATATTTTCCGATCTTGATCTAAACAACAATAATTATTTAGGTCGTCCACAGTGGCGGAAGGTTACATAGAAGAATCTATTGAAAAAAAAAAAGAAAGTTTGCAAAATGCTTATGGGGGAAAAGAAAATCGTGACTACTTCCACGGATATATCTCCAAGTACATCTTTCGCATTTGCTCCACCTCATGAGAAAGTAGATTTACCTGACAATGGAAAAGGAGTCATTTCGTTTACTGATACCAGCTTTCAACATGCAAAAAATTGTTCATTCCATTTTCATTTATCTAAATAACTTTCCATCCGACCAATTATTATTAGATTTGTAAGCTTTTGATATTGTTAGTATAGATAAAACAATCAAATATTGGTAACGGTTTTATTTTTTCGAATTTAGACCTAACAAATTTTGGAATAGTCCATAAAGGTTGCCATGACAACTTTTAGGGACTAGGCCGAAAAATGGGCATTTTACGGACTCAAATGAGTCCGTAAAATGGCTATTTTTGGGAGCGTATGACAAAAATGTGTTTTTCGTAAACGTCTTTAATTTTTAATTTTTTTTCTTGTGTGCCATCATTCTGAATTCGACATAAACCACACATATCCTTTTTTAGCTTATGGAATGATAGATTCATGCTTCTAAAAACCAATCTGTATAGTGAAAAACATGGCTTACTTGCATTGGGTTCTAAATCATCAATATACATTTGGTAGATTCTAGTTATTGACAAATCGGAGTTTAAGAATTCGCTTGTAATATTTGCACGACAGTAATGGGATTCTATACGTGGAAATCTGTTAATGTGTTTAACAATATTTTCTATGAGAATTTTATCTTTCTCGGCGGCAGCTTGAGTACGATCACCGCGTTTTTCTCCCACTTATACTACAGACTCTTGAATTTTTTCAAGTGAGGTACGCATCGTCTTATCACTAATTCCAAGTAGTCCAGGAGGTGGCGCCAAAAACATGCAAGAGTTTTCGCAAGGCGGATATTTTCAAAATAGGTCGTACTTTAGTGCTAGAATGCTAGTGTACAGTCAGCACTCACAGTTCCGGGACAGCTGGCTCTGGGACGCGGGCAAAGTTGTAATTTTCAGAAGCATCTAAACTGTTTTCTCAAAGCTCAAAATTTATAGAAATTTTGCACATTATCTGTTTGAAGGTCACAGATAACGTATGTAAATCGTCAGACGTCTAGTTCGTTGCAAAAAGGGGGTCAGACATCCTCAAAGTTTTTATTTTATGGCATTTTCTTCAAATATATTTGTCAAATACCTGCAAAAATATATTTTGACAGGACACCGAAAAAAATGCCATAAAATAGAAACTTTGAGGACGTCTGACCCCCTTTTTGCAACGAACTAGACGTCTGACGATTTACATACGTTATCTGTGACCTTCAAACAGATAATGTGCAAAATTTCTATAAATTTTGAGCTTTGAGAAAACAGTTTAGATGCTTCTTAAAATTACAACTTTGCCCGCGTCCCAGAGCCAGCTGTCCCGGAACTGTGAGTGCTGACTGTACACTAGCATTCTAGCACTAAAGTACGACCTATTTTGAAAATATCCGCCTTGCGAAAACTCTTGCATGTTTTTGACACCAGCTCCCCAACTAAAGTGTATTAGCAAAAATTTTACGGCATAAGTGAAGTCCGACAAATACCATTTTAAAGTCACGTGATATTGGTGGCAAAAAACGTATGTTCGTTGATTATGTCGTTGATATCACCTACAAAAAGCTACTTGTGGTTAATTACTATTGAATTTTAAGATATGTTCCCACTAGCATTTCACAAACGCGTTTCTGAAGTAGTATTGACCAATCAGTTGAGAATTTTAATACTTGCAATTGTTGCGAGACTCACTTTTGTCGCTTCTGCTGCCCCTTGTAAGACATTCTGAACTTGAATTGGGTACCCGTTTTCTATTTGCATCTTTTTGAGTTGGAAAAAGGTTAATATAGTCAAAATTATTAGCTGTGTTTGTTCGTTGTATCATTTTTTAAAATAACTTTGACAAACTAATTGGTGACAGTGACGGATTCTATTTCAGGTAAGAATTTTATGAACAACAATTAGACAGCAATTTTTTTGTCAATTTTACTATCACCGCTGTTTGAGATGTATTCAACAAGGATAGAGAAAAATCACGTGACTTTAAAATGGTATGTGTTGGACTATACTTGAAGTTTTTCACCAAGTAAAGATAGGTAAAAGAAGTTAGTGTAGACATGCCGACTTGATTTGTCACTCACGTTCTTACCACTTTGTTTAAATCTTCGTTCTACAAACCGCATAATAAATTCTCGCTTCAACTTTAATTCGCCGAGATTCTGGACGTTTTCAAATATTTCATGCCTCTGTTCTTCACTGAATGAAGCACATTTTCGACCACCCTTTCCACACCAGGCTTTATTAAAAATTGGTCCTAAAGAACGCTTCGCTACTAACTTTTTAGTGTCAACAGAAATACACTCTTTGCCACTATTTCGCAAAGCTTTCGCAGTTTTTTTCCTGTTTACTCTTGGCACCTTTACTGCAAAATGTTCTTTTGGCGCTCCTTCAACTAAACGGTTTTTTCTTCTTACGTTGCGGTTTCCTTTTTGGTACTTTTAAACTTATGATTTACTCATCGTCACTACTTTCGCTATTATTTAACTGATGCCAATCACAGTTTGGTTCATCTTTTTGAAAGTGGTCCACATAAGTAAATATTTGACATCAAACGCAAGCGCTAAATACTTCTCCCTGGCATCGAGGTACCTCACAAGTTTGCTTGTGTGTCAGATCCTCGATGTCACTGCCATCATAAGGATCCTCAAACTCACAGTTGTTTGTCTCGGCCTCTTCTAAATTTGATTCCATTGTCATATTCCTACTAGCTTCTGCAATGCTTCATTGCAATGGCTTATGATCAGCTTCATCCAGAAAATTTCGTCGATAATTTTTTTTTTAAATAAAGATTCGTTATCCGACGAATCATAAGAATCTTCTGTAGTTAGTGACTCTTCAATAGCTATAATTTTGCCATAGTACCATTTATATTCAAAGAACATTTTTACTCGTTCCCCCACTTTAAATTTACTTTTTTTTAACAGTTTTCAGGCTACCAGTATCCACACAGTTAATTGTTTTATCGTCCCACTCCACAAGAACTTCCATCATGAAATGCAAAATCTAAAAACATACGTCCTTAGTTTCACACGCGTATTAAATTAGCCAAATTACTACTTACCTCAATAATAAAAAAAAAAATCTGATGATTCACAATTTAATTAAGCTGTCTATATTCCACATCAAAACTTATAATTTAACCTAGCATAAGAAAACACATCACAAAACTCTGAGACAAGTCTGGACAAGGTCAGTCGCTCTGGTGGTGCCGCCTGGGGTTGAAAAATGCGGTGCTGCAATATTTTTATTACATTACATTTTAAAATGTGCAAAATTTAACTCTGTTCGCTAATCATGGTTCAAATATATTTTTAGTTAACTAATATTACTATTGTTAAAACTTTTTACCTACCTTACTGTTAATTAAACTATTTTAAAATGATTGATTAAGTATAAATATTGTTAGGTATGTGGGCCTAACTTAAATATGATTGCAAGAGTATTAGAACGTAAAGGCATGTGTTGAGATTGGGCCGGAAAACCGCGTTACTAGACGTTACGTCTCAACCACCGCCAATCTCAACATTGACCTGTACGCAAAAATATTTTTATGTCTAAAATGAGATGTGCCACGCGGCTAAAATTGAATAATGGCCATACGGTGTATCATAGAGATATGCCAGTTCGTCACAACATAGATATAGTTCTTTTAGGTATTTTTACGGAAATAACTCATTTTCGCCAAATATTGAGATAGGCCCCTTCATACTGACAGCGACGATATAATACTGAAATTCCATCTACAGTGATGTCGCGAAACCGTTATCAACTACTTTTATTAAAGATTCATTGGGTCCTATGATTGAACGTTTACGTTATCCGTAACGTACATGTTAGGCCGAGTTTGAACAGTAACGATGCAAGTTCGTATGACGGAAAGTTTTTCATAACAGATTACTGTTATTTTCCACCTGTTATGTTCTAATTTAACATATCTCCTCAACAGCCCCGAATAACATGCCGTTAAGTGCTTAACGTTCATGTTACCAATGTTTTTTTATTTGTTTGGAGATCCTATTTTGAATGACGGGGTAATTAATTTACATAATACAAGAAGAGAATCAATTATCAAACTAGGAGGTACCTATAGGTTATAGGATTCATTGCTATTTTATGTTAATCATAATTATGAGGTACAAAACTTTAATATTAATTCACTATTTGAGGACTGAATTGGACACTCAAAGAAGGCATACCAGAGGTCAATTGAAACTCCTGATAAGGTTTTATTACTAAATATACTAGACTTCCAAAAGTTCTAAAAGAATCGGTGCAGTTTATAATTGCAAAAATAAGGCAATATTCCTCAAAGACCAAGGATTTCATCCATTCCAGTTGAACTGAAGGTCTAAATTCTAAAAGTTTATTCTGAATTCTTAGTAGGTAGTTGGAGCTGTTTTTCATTTTATATAAGGCAATGGTTCTAGTAGTGCTTTTATTTTCGTGTACAAATGATGTCCACTCATCAGAGGGATTTTCTTGCGTCTCGAAGTTTTGAAAAATAGTTTGAAACAGTTTCCCAATGACCTCATAACTTCTCGGCGCGAGAAAATGGTTCAAAAATATGGATTGGATTGTATTTCGGAACAGTTTGAACCAATTTTGTGTGACGTCATGGGTTTATGGCGAGAATATACACTATTTCAAACCTGTTTTGAACCAGTTTCAAAAAAGTGAACGCGAGAAAACACCCAGGGCATTAATATGATTTGGAAATGTCCCCACACTGTTTTACAGTTATTTTAGATAATCTTTTCGCCCCAATAAATTGAATAAAATGTAAAATGAGCTGCAAAAAAATGTAATTTAATTGTTTGTTATTGTTATTTCAAGAAAAACGTCACTTTTGAAACCAAAGTGAAAGTGAAGCTAGGTACAAATACTTTCTTCCATTCCTAACAGCCAGCTTAACATTTTCTGTTATCGATTTCGTCAATCATACCGATATAACATCCACTGTTATTTTATATGTTATCTATTCCCTGTTAGCATAACATAACAGGTTTATGTTAATTTTAACGTAAACGT